TTACTCGCTTGGAGAACAGAACCATACAGCGTGCCTATGCAAACCCGGATACAGTGGACCAACGTGTGCTCCAATCYACTAAAAAATTCTCATCATCATTTTGTTAAAGATTTTCGCAAAAAAACGTTACAAACAGATCAAAATTGAGCAGGATCAAATATGAACACCTAAAGCACAAATATATAATTAAAAAGGCTAAAGCAGAAAATCTATTAACATCTACTTGTATAGATGCTTAAAGAACACTTGCACTTGAATTCCGATATGTACTGTTGCATTATTRTATGGTTAATAGTGTTTTACCGGAAACTAAAACACTCKTGTTTTCCATATTTTCAATAGTKAAGATATGAAAAAGTTATGTACCAAAATGTTCCGGATATACGCGTSCGTCAAATAGAAACAACTTTCCAGCTCATTCCTRCTTGTTCATTGAGTTAAAAATGGCGAAAAGGTTGTGACATTTATATATTMATTTTGATATCAATATTTGCTGAATTTTATTCAGTTGTGCAACTTTCAGCACGTCCAATAGAATATTCTTTGCATTGAACTGAATTTGAACATTTATTGTTAACTTCGTTTGTTTAGTTTGTCCATATAATAAAAAGAACATTACACGTTGGTTTGTGGATATGAATTTTATTTTCTCGTGTTAAAAACAAAAACAGCTTTGATTCTCTCTTTTAAAAACTCGAAGACAAACATTGAACGTTGTTAGCAGCGTCCTAGATACGACGCGGCTGGATTGCTAGTGAACTTGAAGGTTGGATTCCCCCACCATGATRGAAAACAATGTGAAATGCAATAATCTACGTCACATGCATGCATAATTAAATTTMCGTGATTTGGAAATTWTTGTTGCAATTCATTTGTCAGTTCTTCCAATCACAAAGGCGTTCAAATCTCTAATACTCCAGTTTCGAGATCTTATTTGTGCAGTCTTAACCTCGAAAGCATGTAATATATTATTTTATTAAGCAGAGAATCTATTGTAATGCAAAAACTCTGTATACAAAGAAGACAATAAACAATTTATGCTTGATTGAAGCTTAGCTTGCACAAAAGAGAATTCGAAACTGGATTATTTACCAGTTAATTGATTTTACCCAGAAACCAGTTCGGGCTAGTCGCGTTTCGTGAAACTCGTCGGTCGACGACAACCTTTTGTCAATCGACTGTATATCAAGTTAGATGTCCATWTGTCCTTATTGTGATGTCTCTTAAATATTCAYATTTTCGAATAGCCAGACTTTCYMAGTCCCACTTCTYCCAGTAGGCCGAGAGAAATCACCTGGCTTCCAGTAGACCAAAGCTTATTCTAACYGTGGGGTGGCACCAACGAGATGCATCATTATTCCCGTTCTCACTTAGGCTCGTTCTCATGTACTGATGCTCTCAAAAATATCAAATATTTTGATCCCWCCAGAGARCYATATGAGGGTAAAAAATGAAAAATAGCTTWAAAAATTTCATTAAGAAACGATGTGTTTTACTATAAAAACACAGAAAAAAGATGCTTGATTTAATGATGCATTTCTCAGTGTGAGACTCGAACTCTCGTCATTGTAATTTATCGACGCAATCCCAGCGAGGTCGGAAATTATTTTTTTCCGAATTTATTCCTAAGCGTCTTTCTTCCGGAATTGCCTCCTTCTAAGCACTATAACTTTCTTTCATTTCTATATCGTGTCTATCATAGTGCCATGCGATCCTCATATTCATATCTTTACATTACCGCAACCTAACATCTGTTTCACCCCGACCTGATCCCAGTCTGGCCTTGTAGCTCAGCTGGTAGGGCATCGGTAGTACAAATCCGAAGCTCGTGGGCTCGAATCCCAGCGGGATTGGAAATTTATTCCTAAGGGTCTTTCTCCCGGAATTGCCTCCTTCTAAGCACTATAACTTTCTTTCATCTCTATATCGTTTCGAGGCAAGTTTCGATTCCTTTGTGTGTGTCTACTGGTGCAAAATTCGCAAGTCGGCTATTAAAAGCTACTAGACTATAGCCTGGGCTGCCTGTGATTTAAGGTGCATTACATATTCTCCACTGAACTGCATTGAAATGTGGACATTATTTCTGTCTTGTGCCTTTGTAGTTGTGATTTGCAGTTGTCTTTGTTAATGTTCTCTATTCAAGGACGTCACGGAGACAACCATATCTAATACAAAAAGTACATATTAGTAAGTAATAATAAATTGTTCAATAATATGAGAATAAAAATAATACAACTAGTTCTCATACTCATTAATTATTCATGAGGTATATAGGCAATACCTGACTGTAATTTGTACCACCGTGTAGTAACTGGAAACGAGAGGAAGTACTCCTACCTTGTATTCTACCTTATTTCCAGTTACTACTACCTTATTTCAAGATACTTCTACATTACTTCCAATTTACTTCTACCTTCTCTCCAGCTACTACTAGCACCTGAGTTTACCTTACATGAATTAAGAACACCTTGGTCCATTGAATCCAGGCTTGCATATGCAGGCTGTATGATGTTCCTCGCCCAGTGAGTAGCACTGCCCATCATTGAGACAACCATTATACTTGCACTAAAAAAAACATGGGAATCAAGCGCTAATCAGTGATGTATAACTTACATTGATGAGGAAATGCCGGTTTCAAAACTGTGTTTCAGCAGTAGGTAAGATTTTCTAAGCTTAAACGCGCGTCATACATTATTTTGTAATGCTGACAAAACATTCGTGAGCTTATCAGCTCATGTAAGCAGGACTTTAKTTTAGCTTGAACATACAATATAATGCAATCTCAAAGAACCACAGTGAACTTGCAGTGCCAATTTTGTAGAAATGTTAGGAAACMTAGGGCATAAAAGATCGTCAAAGACTGCAAGGAACACAGTGCGACTTCACAATAATGAAAACTCTCTGCATTGCATCCAATGGCATAACTATAATTTGTCATTATTAATTGATTAATAATTGTAATTTTTAATYTTAAAAAGATATAAAATTCTTTGCTTACATCATGGGTGTTAAAAATCCATCCAGGCCTAACTTCTAGTCTGTAWTCTGAAGCGCGGCCTTTGTAGAAAAGTTCACATTTCTTGGTCTGTGGATGATAGTTGAACATGTAGCACACATCAGGGACGTGCATGAAGCAAGCATCTTTGCAGTCGTTGTCGGTTAAAGCCGTAATRGACTTTAAGAGAGGACCAACAATAGCATGGTCTTGGATGGCATCGCTGTACGCAATCCTCCATGACGTGCCTTGAATGCATTCACGCGTTTCTTTGAAAAAGCAAAAGCTTTACATTAGCTTACAGTAATCATGACGAACTATGATATTTTCAGTAAAATGAAAATGCCTAATCATCGAAAGGAAGTAAAGTGCGTGCAGACTAGTATAGTCCATACTTCAAGTCCGCCATTTTGAATTATTTTGCAATGTATCATGTGATACCAATCTCCCTGTATTCTTCTAAACAAGTCGTTAAAATYATAAAAGCACTAAGTAGTTTCGATATTGATAGCTAGTAAATAGACTTGAATAAATGAGCTCATTTTTTGGAGTTTTTTGTTAGTTTTTGTACTTGCTGTGGGATTCCGCTCATACATCCACTAATATTTTCTTAAGTTCATTAAATTCAGCAATGTACCTGAAGTAATTTTAATTATTAGTAATTTCATTAACTAATACTGATTTAGAAATTATGAGAGTTTCTAAATAAAAAGACTATATCGTTTATAAGCTTTTAAAAAAACTGAAATTGTATTTTTTTAACATGCTGTCACTAGTTACTGTAGTAGAGAATTATCATTACTGACTCGTTTTTCGTAATTTTCTAGAACTTTTGTGGATAGAACGAGTGAATGATTTATGTAGCTTCACAAGTATTATTCTGCGTCCCACACTAACAGAGTTGTTTCAACCGGAGGAAAAAATCTTTCATGTGCTGCCGATATTTAATTGCTTCCATATCAATATACATTAATTAAAATTTTACGCACGAATTGTATTAAGAATTTTTTGCAAAATAGTTTTTAGTTATTTGATTTTGTATATAGTTGTCAATTTAGCCCCGCTGCTGTAATGTATCTATGTTTGATAAACTATATCTATAGAAAAGCTTTAAAAATGACTAATTAGGGGTCGAGGCAAAATGTAAGAGAATTCAGCTTGCCACTRGCCTTCTCATTCTTTAATGCTCACACAGTTATCTCACGATACTTCATATTAATAACATGAAAAGATGTATGTACCTTTAGGCTTACTGATCAACTTGCTTGAATCAAGTACATTGTATTCTGAAAAGTAATCAATGCAGCTGAATTATAAGTCTGTAAATATCKTCGATAGGTATTGTGGAAACTAGAAGAATAGACGACGATCATTGATCGCACACATGGGCTTCCTTCCAAAGGCAAAAAAAGTTACTTTTACAAATAAAATCGATAATACCTCCCACTCAAGACACTCAAGAGTTCTAAGTTTGGCTACGATCAAAGGATTATTTAGAATTCCTATTGTTGACCTAAAATGGGAGCAATGTAAAATTAATATGAAACAATGAAGATATTTTAAGAAATTGTCCCTTGCCTTGTTGGCTGTTGTTGAAGTTATTGTTTGCATGAATTGAACTCCCGAGATATCGTTGATTTCCGTTCAGGTGCAGTCGTGTTTACTTTATAGCGGCTTGTCATTATTTCTTTTTTCACACGCGGTGATTTTATTTGCGTTTCGCGGTATTGCCCAGATATAACGTCACTTTACCCAGTCTGAAGTTCTCTGATCGCGCTACTAGTTTGAAATTTCTTGAAATTCCGCTTCCTTCGCAGTTTTTCTACTCTTCGATCGCTTCCTCGATATCTTATAATTTTGCGTGCCTTTTGTTAACAGGAAAGATTGCTAAATCACACTGGCATCGAGCAAGTCCCTCGTACTTGACTTCATGTCACGTCGCTGCGACTTCAGCAAATTCTTCATTGTCTTGTCTCCTTACAATTTTCAAGGTCGTCGGAACTACTGGTCTTAACCACAAGGTCGAATTGCTTAGAAAGGATACTGCAGACTATCGAAATCGCGRGCGCTACTACTTTGAAGCCAAAAATTCACAACACGACGAAAAGTAGCATCCACAGGAAGCCCATGTAAGAAGTACCAACTGTACTCATTTTAGAGGCTTTTTACACTCTAACACTTTTAAAGGAGCCGTCCCAGGTTGATGCTTTGCGCGCTTATGTTATTGTTTACATACGGCATTTGTCCAACGTGTAAAACGAATAATAGCAAAGTATCTTTAATATTTTCAAAAATTCTTACTAGATCTCGATTTAAAATGCCTGTTTATGGCCAAAACTACACGCTGTGAATCCATACGGGTCATCGGTAGCTAATTAGGTGATGAATTAGACTTTTCTTCGAATATTCGAGCCATGAAACGGACGCCGAACAAGATGAAGTAGCGACCGATCAAGCTCGCCAAAGGAGTAGAAGTGCAATATTAGTTAACTCTATCATTAATGAGTATTCTAATGAGTATTCGTCTTCTCTTTTGTAGAAGAAATAATGGCTGATTTGTATTTTTATCGTGGCTTCAGTATAGTTTTGCTCTTGCAAAAATTCGTGTAGCAGAATAAAAACACCGCCGACTCGCAGGCTGTCGGCGAAGCAACAGTTCCACAAACTCACTATTATTCAACTGTAAAAGACCCTTTCTGTCCTTTGTTTCCTTCCAAGGTTCGTATGTCGTGGCCTTTTGAACGTGATATCCCTCAGTTATTTCTTCTTTCCGGCGACGACCGCGAGAAGATTTCCGTTACGTTGATTTGGAGCCATATCGGCAAACTCAAAATAAGACGTTTAAAAAAGACTCAATATTCGAAATAATTCAAGAAAATGAATATATGTTACATAAAGAACTAATATATATCGAATTTATAAGGAAAAACCCAGAGATGTTTCAGATTTTAGACGGATTGTGTAAGCTATCACTAAAAATAATTTCGATGTCATCGAAAATGGCGCTGATCAAGGTCTTCGCTGTAATTCGATGCGCGCAAAGCATCACCCTGGGACGGCTCCTTTAAAAATAGATGTTCGCAGACAAATAATGTRCGTAGCGGAAGGATTAAAAACTGAAGTCAATTCCAGAAGATATATGAATGAATAGAAGATATTTCTTGGGTGCGGTGAGATATGGATTTGATAAATATATGTATTTCATAGATTATAACGGAATTACCTTTGAGTGAGTTGATCTGAGCGCTGTTTATTTCACCATCAATAATGTAGAGGTCCATCAATTCCCCGAAGAACTGGTTATTATTCGGCATGTCCCAATTTCCATCATTACCAATCTCGAAGGTCGATCGTTCTGGGTACCACGTTATTGATTGCGGGAATGATTTTACTTGCTGTGTACGCGATACAAATTGCTGAAATTCTACTTGACTTCCGTTTATGTACAACTTGTACACTCTGGATCTATTGTTCCAAGTCAAGACAAGATGATGCCATTCTTGAGGCCTGAAGTCACTCCAATTTATCATTCCAAAAGTCCAATCATCCTGTAAAGAGTGTCGACCAAATACCAGTTCTCTTTGGGTCAAAAATCCGAAGTGAAAATTCCACGGCTTATACCAATCACTAAGAAAGTTTTGTGGTCTTTGAAGAATTTCGTACATTTTAATCCACAGTGCAATGGAAAAACTTCTATATTGAAGACTGACACTTGGAATTCTTGCATAGCTTTTCATCTTCCTGAAGGCAATAGCTTTAGTGTCTGGTAAACGACCTTCAACAAATATCGGTCCTCCATGAAGGCTAGGAGTAAGGAAAAATAATGTTATAAGTATATTTGTAGTGAGATTTTTTTGTCATGCACTGAACGACGACACATGAGGTTGTATAATAATAACATTAYGAATATTTACGTTATCTCATTTTCTGATCCATTGAGTCTCCAATGTGCAAGAATATCAGAACCTGTCGTGAAAAATAAAAACAAAACAAAACAAATGCGTTGTGTATCATTAAGATTGGCCGGTCATTCAAATACGAACCGTTACCATAAATTATCGCCACGTACCGCTTGATTTCCTTTACATAGTGTAAATATCTCCTATTTTTAGCAACAGTAATTTTCAACATGGTACTTACTTTGAACTTTRATAAAGTTTAAAGTGATGACAAGTACAATTATCTGAGAAAATAAAAAAAAACATTAGTTTTATAAAAAAATTCTGAATCAGAGTAAAAATGGTTTGATCTTATTAGTCGCGTAGGCGATAGCTGACACACAGAATACTTGWATGTGAAAGAAATTGAAAGAATTTGAAAGAAATCAAACCATTTGAACGATCTCTTTTACGCTGTGTTAGCCTCAATTCTGTGTAAAATATTCAGTTGATAAAAATCGTGAAATTTTAAACTATTTCAATTGTCTTCTATACTCACGGATCTCTTGCATTTGCACGAACTGTCTGTTAGTGAATAAAATAATTTATTACATRTTTTGAGGCTAACACAGCGTAAAAGAGATCTTCAAAATGGTGTATTTACCTTAGAGATGTCCATGTTTTGTAAAAGAGAAGCAAACCTTTTTTACCTTGTACAATATAGAATATAGAAGTACGAAAATGAGAGTTTAGCGTTGAACTTAAAGGAAAGCATTTCAATTCAATTAAATAAATATTCATAACAATTTGAGAAAAAAATAATTTGAAGCCCGCTATAATTACAGCTGATTGGTAATTCTATTGTACSCACAGGAATCGCAGTGTGTGACTGTTCGAAAATAGTTAAACAAACTACAGTCGAATCTCTCGTAAGCGTACACCATTTGGAAACAAAAAAAAATTGTTCACAAGTAAAAAATGTCCGTCTAATAGAAAGGGTTCTTGAAACGGTTAAACAACGTCAGATATTCTTGTTTAATAGTTAAAAAAGCAATCCTAATGATTAGCGATTAAGAAAATGCGAGTCCTTTTATTACAGTAGCAAACAAACACCTGTGTCAATGATGGCAGGTGTTACTCGCCAAAGGTACAGATCAAATGTACTAGTTCAATAAAATGGAGCAAGATCAAATCTGAACACCTAAAGCCCCGGTTTTGGAAGCCATCTTGTCCGGTAAGCATAGTGTCGCAAAATATCAAGGAATGACCGGGAAATCGATTTCAAATAATTCTCGCTGAATTCAAATTCGGAATTAATTATTAATTGCAAACGTTAGATACTACAAAAAGGAGTTAAATGGCCAAAATTGAAGGATGTACTTCTTCTAGGGAGCGAGAAAATTTATTTTTAGTTCTCAATAYATTTCTTTGTATTTTTCACGCGCGTCACGCGCTGATGACCCCGGAAATTACAAAGAAATGTATTGGGAACTAAAAATGAGTTAACTCGCTCTCTAGATCAAGTWCACCCTTCAAATTTATCCCAGAACTGGGATTAATTCAATGCACTGAGACTGGGATTTACAAATACGCGAACAATAGAAACTATGAATGGGATTGAAAATTTGAACAAAACTGACGGAGTCTGTACTCCCATTCAGGGCTCTCTATAAGAAAAAAGAGATCAAAGTTTGGATAACTCYATTTTCAAATCAGAATCAACGCAAAACGCTTGATCGTTTTTTAAAATTTTCAATTTGGAAAACTAAAGATAATAAAATA